TATTACTATAAACATATTACAGATGAGATACCCGAGGGAAATTGTATAGTTGTAGGATTATTGTTTTAAAAGAAACCAAGAAGAGGGAGAAGAGGAAGAAAAACCTTTAGTATCTTAGGAAAATCATTATATTTAACCAATAAATGAATCATAGGGTTTTAATAATGAGATATTAATTCTTATATTTCTCTAAGAAGACAACATAAAAAAATCCTATTGTTCAAATTAAATTGTACTCTCCAAGTACCTGGGACTATAAGCTACCATGCACTTCCTCCAGTAACTCTCCTTCCAGTAACATTCAAGGTGAGAGAGGAGCCCATACCCATTCCCAGTTCATGTGGTCTAACTTAAGTCAATCAGTGTATGTCATTTCTCTGACCACAGTGAATAGCCCAGGACCAAACACATGATCCAAGCCTGTTTAATTAGAAAAAACCTCAAGGGTTTGTTTGTTTGTTTATCTGGAAATTCTGGGAGAACATTTATTTCTGCTGGATTCAAACTATGAAGAAAATACCCCCAGGAACTGTCATATTACAATCCTTTGAGGTCCAAGAATGAAATCAACAGTAAACACCTTTCTTCATAAAGAGCTCCACCATCTCACCTGTGCTTATCAGATATCAGGACTGCATTGGTGATCATTCCCAGGCCTCATCCCTATCTGACATACTGCATCCTCCTACTTAACACCTACTGAATTCAACTTCTTATACCCAATACAAATAGCCTTGCACAGATCACCATAATCTCTTGTCCACAACAGGCTGATTACTAGTCTCTTTTTCTCTATTCTTGTCCTCCCCTCAAAACCTTTCTCTACTCTCTAAGCAAAATGATCTTTCAAAATTAATGATTGTGCCTAACCTTACAATGATATTCCACTACCTTCAGCATCACAAAAATATGGTTATTGCAAAGCTTAGGACCTAGTAAAAGATGATGAAAAACAGTAAGATAACCAGACAATAGATAATAGCAACACATTATGGGGGGAAGTGACTTTAGAGTAAAAAGTCAGAGTAGTCTCTTCCATAAATGACATTACAGTGTGGCTAGAGGATCAAAAGGAGACAGGCTTGGAAAAAGAGGAAGACTTCCATTTGCTTACTTACCGTCATCCTTACTGGCCTATAAGCCAGAGTGCAGGGTCCATTCTGGTCTGAACAGCTACCATAGTTCTGGTCACTTATAAGTTTTGAATATATAGTTGATAAGTGAAGGGATGAATGAAACTTAAGTTTAAGCTTAAATTTTGGGAGAGTATAATTTAAGGTTAATTGTGTGCTCACAGTTGTTTTTTAATACACTTGTTGCATCAATTTGTGAAATCTCTAAGACAAATTTCTAGGCAGATAAAATTCTAAATTCTAAGCACATTCAGACCTTAAAAAAAAAAAAAGCTTGCTTTCCTCAAATCTTTCTAAAATATTTCAGGACAGACTCTACACACCCATCCCTTAGAGTCAGGGTATTAGAATAGATGGCTCACTTGGCAGGAAAGTACAACATATCTCAGCCTGACCAACCTTAAAAAACCAGCAATAGGGGGCTCTCCCTGGTGGTGCAACAAGTTAAAGCATGACATTAGAAGCTCTTTGAGACCACTGCAGCATGAGTTCAATCCCCTACCAGGGAGCTGATCCCACATGGCAAGGCAGACCTCTCCTGACCTGCCCACTGCTCCCCTCAGCAGTGTACTTTAGTACATCTGGCTGTTCTGCTCCCCACTGTCTCTAGTGAATCCCCTCACCGCTCCTGCACCTCTGGCCTGTATCCCAGTTCTGTAAGCATAAATAAAATCTTGAAAAAAAAAAACAGTAATAGCTTTGAGATCCTTGACAAACAAAATCTGTCAATCTGAGATATTCATTTTCATAGCAAAGATGGTTTCAAGTAATTACGTTACAGGGCAACCTAGTGTGGACTGGACTGCCTGTCTGTGGGTCCTCACCTGCGCAATTAAAATTTAATTGTCCTGCAGGCACACACAAAAGGGTCAATAATGGGTTTATTTACAAAAGGGGAAAGGAAAAGGAACAACCCAGGGCAAGAGAGAGAGAGACAAGGTAATTAAAACATCCCACCAGCTCAGCTGACTCTGAGCTCCAGTAACACACTGATAGATACCAGCCATGCGGTCCTGAGAAAGAGCGCATAGAACATAACACCCTATTTAACTCCTAAAGTCCCCCAGAATGCCTGCTTGGGTCCTCGCAGTTCTCTCCTTGGTATTGCTGGGTGTTGTAGTTTCCAATCACTGGAGTAGGGGGTACAGTCCAGAAAGTCATAGTAAGGGGTGGGGTCCACAAAACTCTGCAGAGTTCCTTTAGGACATCCTTCCCCTCTAACAATTAAAGTTCATTTCTTCTAAATGGAATTAAAATAGTGAAGTTCTGCTTAAATTTTATTTTATTACATTAGATTGCTACTGGAAAAATAAGATATTCAGGTTATAATCCCTTTCTTGCAAAGAAAAGAGTTAAATAAAAAAATGGCAGCAAAACCTGGCCTGATGTGAAAATATTTATATCTTTCCTTTAATCTAGTTGATGTGACTACTCATTTGTTTCACAGCAGAAATATAAAGTATTCAATTAGAGGGTTGTGCCTATAACCTCACAGGAATTTTGGGTAATATATAATATATGCAATTTATAATTTTTCAAAAGCCCAAAAAAAAACAGACCTTCAAGGCACACCTGGCCCCAAGAGTTTTGAATAAGGGATCTGCATTCTATTACAACACTGACCCAATTCTATTATTTTCAGTTGTAAAACTTCCATAATATGTAGGCTTTGAAGTACCTAACAAAAGCAATGTCTCAGAAATGCAATTAACATTATTTTAGCATTTGGAAGTAATAAAATTTGTAACTATTCTGAGTTTCCTTTGAGATATGATTGAAAGTTTGATTTATGCCACTATACTGTTGGTTTTCCAGTAAGAAATATTTCTATGAACAAGAGATACTTTGGACCGAGAGGAAATATTCATAGGAAGATCCTTTAGCCTATACCTAGTCTTAATAAAGGTGTTGCAATCCAAACCAGAATAATTTTCCATAACTTATAATTTCCCAAAGTATTTTATTGTTCTCATTTTATAATTTTTTAATACTTTAGACATTTTCCCTGGAAATTTTCAAGTAGCAGCACCTGCCTGCTAGAAACAAGGTTTTCTACACTCTGCAGGGCACAGAGTCAGTCACCTGCAAACCTTACTAGGTTTATCACCTAGAGAGATATTTTCTATTCTCCCCATCATACAATTGAGTAAACTCAGGCTTAATTTGTCCAAGACTATTAAGTTAACAGAACTACTTCTGACTACTAAGTAACAGAACAAAATTAGAACCCAGGTATGTCTGATTCCAAAGTCTGTATTTCAAAATACCCTGGTGTACATAATTAACCATGCTCCAAACTCATTCCCAATTTGTACATAGTTGGAACACAGAAGGAACACTCTATAACTTCTCTATCCATTGCAGAAATGGAAAACACCTACACTAGTCATGTGAAAGTCTCTTCACACTGCTAGAAGATGAAGATGTATGGTTTTAAAAGAATCAACTTTAACACAATAGAATACATTGATGTGATTTTGGTTTTCATTTTATTATTTTTAAAAAATAAGTAAAAATAATTGGAATTAATTTGACTTATCACAAATACAACATAGTCAGATGGTCAATATTCACCTACCTTTTAGAAGGGTCATCTACATTAATGGGAAATATTATCATATATGGGAAAGAGAAAGATTTGCATCTTACAACAACACAGCATAGGAGGACAGAGATGAAGATCATTAATGATTTTAATTATTTTAAGGCTTGTTAATATTAGAGAAATATCAAAGCACCCACAGTGTTAAAGGTTTATTATTATAGCATTTTAGAGTTTACTAGTTCATACCTTTCAATCACAGCAAATTATTAGCAGTGAAGGGATGAACCCTCTTAAGAGGATTTTTATTTCAATGATAGGATGTTATGAACAAGACAACCTAAGTTTAAAAAAATTAGTAGCAAGCGCTAGTTGAGTTAATCAGTTAAAGACAAACTGTGCCCTTGGGAAGCTAAATGAAAAAGCAACAGTAAAGCTTACAGAACTTAGCTCGTACAATTTGCCTTGAAGGCGGAAGATTGGTTCCCTGAAATAGCAAAGAATTATATGCTTTAGTTCAGAAAAAAATAAGTTTTTAAAATAAAGTCTGTTATTACCTCTTCTCCTTTCAAAACAATGGAAAAAAATTTAGAGCAGAGGTTTCAATTTGTTAAATAATTGTACCTCTGAAGTAAAAAAAAAAAAAAGTAAAGCTATAAAGTCATCATTGTTTTGACTTGAAAAGAAATAACAATGCAAATACTCATTATCACATAGAACATAGAAGAAAACAGCAAACTGTCAGAGTTAATGCAATCTCTGCAGAGCGCTATTAGTCAGAGACAGCCGGCCAGCCCAAAACACAAAAACTCAAAAGATCAGATCTTAGGAATTAACATCTTCATTAACCAACAGGAATTTGGTGTGGCAGAGATTGAATCCAACCACTGCGGTCTTTATGAGCTGTCCCTTCACTGTTACCAAGCTGTGCAAATGTGTGAACTAGTCAGCAGCACCAGAAAGCTCATGCAACTACTCACCATATTTTAATCTTGAACTGATTCACAAATTCTATGTTAAATCAAGTTTAGGGGTAATGTAAGCAAGCAAAGTAGGACACAAAGAGTCAAATTTGAAAAGCAGAGCAAATAGCGGAAAAGTTACTTAAAATAAATCAACATGGTTAACTGCATAAAATAGCAAAAAAAAAAAAAAGGCAATTCACTCCAAAATCTTTAAAAGCAAAACCAAAATAAAACAAAAAGTTGCATCTCCAGCAAAATTTGCACATGATTAATTTGCATTTAAAAAATAGTCAATCAAGCCATTTAGTTCAAATTCTTTGCAGCAAGCATGCATTGATTTTTTTAAAAAACAATTCCTACCTGATTTCCAATTGTGTTTTTCTTGTGAACCTGACTGCTCCTCTGCTGAGCACTGAGAAAAGCAAAGGAGAGCAGCACTGAAGAAACTCTTAAAATGTTTTTCTGAACAAGTAGCATACAGGCTTTAAAAAAATGTCAACAACTGAAGCAGAGCTAATATTAAAAATCCAGGTCAGTTTAATTCAGGAAGAAAAACCAAGTACGTGGAAATTCTAGTATCAATTAACAATTACAAAACAAAAACAGTAACATCACTGGAAGAAAAGTTATATTGCTATATTAACAACAACATGAACCTATGCAAGTATTTGACATCCCACAGGTATACAGAGAGTTGTGTAAAAGTTAATAAATGTTGGGCCCTTGAGTATATGCTAAATTCTGATTACCCCATAGAGATTAGTGATTTTAGTTTTAACTTTAACCCCATGTTGTAGTCATTGTGATTCTTCTCTGATTTGCAGATGGAGAGAACAAGTCACAGAGAAGCTAAGAGGCTTTCCCTAAGTCACTCACCTAAGTGGCCATACCAAGCAATTTGAGTCCAGATCCCTTTGTGATATTATTCGGTCTAATTTCTGACAACTCCCATAGTGCATCTCCAGCCTGCACCTATGCCTTCAACTCCAAGTTCATGTAGGTTTCTGATAACTCAACATTTCCTCTTCCATCTAATGGACATATCAAGCTTACTATGTCAAAACTGAATTTGTGAGCTCCTCTCTAAAACCTGCTCCACCCAGCATTCCCCTTCTTAATTAGTGATAATTTCATACTCCTAAAGGCTTCAGGCAAAATTCTTAATTCATTTTTGTCTCACATCCCATACTCGTATGTCAGCAAAGTCTATTAATTCTACCTCTTAAGATGTATTTAAAGTACAACCAGGTTTTACCACTTCCATTTCTACCATTTTGGTCCAAACCAACATTATCACATTCCTGTACTGCTTTACTCACTTTCTGCAGTCTCTCCTCTAACATCTATTCTCAATACAGAAACCAATGATCCTATTTAAAAAGGGATTATGTAGCTCTTCTGCTTAAACCACCCCAACTGTCATTCAACTCCACTCCACCCAGGATAAAAATCAAAACCCTTAGAACAGTGGTTCTCAAGATTTTAGTCAATCGACCCACCCTCTGATGGGTGGGAGAGTTGACTGTGGTTGAATGGACTCAATTCGTCTACTTGCCACCTCATTCACTAGAGGTCGAGCTGATTTTGTTCTTTTTTGACACTACCAAGTACACTCCCACTCAAAGCCTTCATGTTAACAGCTCCCTCTACCTAGAAACCCTCTCTCCATATATCTGCATGAATCCTGACACCATCTCCTTCAAGACAAATTTATCAGCAAGATTTACCATGACCATCCTATTTAAATTTGCATTCTTCCACCCTTTCCTCCAAGACTCCCACTTCCTTTTCTCAGATCTATCTTTTCCTATGGCATTTTTTTACCTTTTACTATTATATAACTTACTTATTTTTTGTGTTTAACTCTGTTTCTATCTTAAAATGTAAATTCCTTATTAGCAGGGATTTCTTTGCCTATTATAACCCCAGTGCTTAAATGCTGTATAGCACATATATGGCTTCAATATATATCTGTTGAATGACAAGTCCAATAAAGTCGGTATCATCATAACATGAGCACAAAAAAATTAAGAGCTGGGCCCCAAAAATTTAACCCCAGAGTCTACACATTTAGTCATTGTGTTACTCAATCTCTAAAAAGAATGAAGTCTCCTTTGGAGTAAACATATTTTGATATAAGAAAACACAATTCATTTTGGTTATTCTGGGAAGACTAGCAATACCACAATCCTCTAATAGTTGCTTAATAATTTTAATTGTTTTGGAAATTAATGGAATAGACAACATGGATATAAATTGTAGTCATCATTCAACTATTAAAGTGATAAGAGTAACATGGCTCAGAAGCACATTAGATATCAACACCACACTTAGAATAGTTATTCAAAATAGCAATCCTACAATCTAGAATGACATATTCTAGCTGCTTCCTTAACTCACACTTGTAACTGAATGAAGGTAGTGAAATGTCATGCTATAGTTACTTACTGGCATTCACTTTGCATGAATTTTGTCTTTCAATTTTTAATCTTAGCATTTCACTTTCCTCATTGTTTTTTGGTTTTTAATTAAAATTCTTGATTTCCTAGGCCCTCCCTGGTGGCGCAGCGGGTTAAAGCACAGCACAAAGAAGCTTAAGCCACTTCTGCATGTGTCCAATTCCCACCTGCCCCGGAGGTGACCACATGGCATGGCAGACCTCTCCTGACCAGCCCGCTGCTCCCCTCAGCAGTGTACTTCGTCGATCTGCCTGTTCTGCTCCCCACTCTGTCTCTCACCCTCCGCATCTCTGGCCTGCACCCCAGTTCTGTACGAATAGATAAATAAATCTTTTTTTAAAAAAAAATCTTGATTTCCTAAATCACTATGAAATTAATATCTCTCTCCAATCACTTTTCTACCCAATGCAAATATTAACTATCACAGGCTTTGTGATGGAGGTGAAGTTCGTGTCTTTGGCCAGGGATCTACTGCACCCACACTGCCCTCTGGCTGCCCACGATGCCACAATGCACAGTGTCCCAAGTGCTACTCTTCCTATCAGTTTTAATCTTTTCCATGCTTTTTCTCCGAGGTCATTTATTTCCTTAAGAATAATGGAGAAACTGACCCTCCCTGGTGGCGCAGCAGGTTAAAGCACTGCACTGAGAAGCTAAAGCCACTTTCACATGAGTTCGATCCCCGCCTGCCCTGGAGGAGATCCACATGGCGTGGCAGACCTCTCCTCACCCACCCCCTGCTCTCCTCAGCAGTGTACTTCCTTGATCTGCCTGTTCTACTCCCCACTCTGTCTCTGGTGAATCCTAGTTCTGTATGCACAAATAAATAAATCTTTAAAAAAAAAAAAAGAAGCAGAAAAAGAATGGAGAAACTACTGATATAATGTGGCCATGCCTTCTTCATGGATTGCAAGCCCCATAATTGTTTTAGGATTTTTTTAAGGGGAAACACTTTAAAATAAATCACTAATAGTGACAACTTTAACACTATGATAGACCCACAGATGTTTACTAGGAGTAGACAAAGTCCTGAGGACCCTCGAATTATGTGATTTACAGATCACATAAAAGAAAAGAAGCTGAATGTAAAGCAAAAGACAGGGACTGTTGATTCCTTATGCTATGTTATGCAGAGTATGGCCGCCCTAAATTGAGCCCAGTCTGTGTTGTAATGTGTTTCTGTGTGTGTACATGTGTGTTTTAAAAAGAGAGATAGGCAAACGGTGGAGAATTGAGCTATTTCCTAGATTCCTTTTAGATCCAAGTTTCAAGTTTTAAACTACAGTAGGCAAAGACTTTTCACTAATAGTATCCATCCATTAAAAAGTACATAATTATGGCCCTCCCTGGTGGCGCAGCGGGTTAAAGCACTGCACTGAGAAACTAAAGCCACTTCCTCATGAGTTCGATTCCCGCCTGCCCCGGAGGTGACCACATGGCGTGGCAGACCTCTCCTGGCCCGCCCGCTGCTCCCCTCAGCAGTGTACTTGTCGATCTGCCTGTTCTGCTCCCCGCTCTGTGTGTGGTGAATCCTCTCGCCCTCCGCATCTCTGGCCTGTACCCCAGTTCTGTATGAATAAATAAATAAATCTTAAAAAAAAAAAGTACATAATTATCTGTAAGACTATGCAGGAGGAAAAATAGATTATTTTATAAGCTAATATCAAATACTAATGTTTGAAAAATTCCCTTTGCTTTTCATCTAAATAATCTTTCTGAAGCAAATTGTTCCATAAATCCAAAAACACTGCTGTCAGTGTATTGAGACATTTGAAGTTACTCTATAAGTAACATAATAAAAAAATAAGCTCCTAGTTAGAAAATATTCTTTGTCATAATCATGAATGTTATGATAATTGAAGTAAATGTATTTCAAAATACTCATTTTATAATGTATCCATGAGAAACATGTGAGGACTGGCAAGCTATCTTAAGCCCCGTTGGACATATTCTTGGTCAGAGCCCTTAAATGACTATCTGCAATATTGTAAAACATACCTATAATGTTCTAATAAGACATAAATCAAAAATGTTTAGGGTAGCAACTCTCTACAAGGCACTCTATGGAGGACATAAACATAATTAAGCTATGTTCTTTGCAAATAGAGGCTTATAATATATCTAGTATAGGTAAGGAGGTTATGAAAAATATAAATTACAAATAAAGAACAAGTTCTATAAGAATAAATTTGTGAGGCTGCAATAGAAGAAAGCAAAAAAAATGCTTCTGGGGCAATGTGGAATATAATTACTCAATATCATATTATGTGTGTGTTGTGTGTATGTGCATGTCTGTTGTTAATCATATAAATTCCTACTACACACGAGTCACTGAGGAAGGCTTTGCCAGTACACTAAAACACATAAAACTAAATTAGTTTTATTAGTAATGCTCTCAGACATAATGATTTTAAAAGTATATAATAAGAGGTTTTAAAAAAATAAGAACACACTGGACGACATTCAAAGAAAAAGAACCCATAATGTCACCTCTTGGCTCACAATTCTCTTCTGCATATTCTCTTCTATCCTTGTCCATATGTGTACATAATAAAAGTTTGAAAAACAGAAGTGTGTGCCAAGGGGGCATGTGATCAGTTACCCAGTAACTCCTATGTTTACTAATTGCTCTGAATAGTCAGCTACAAGCAAGATCAATTGTCTGATGTGATCTAAGATTTTCAGAGAAAGCACTTGAAGAAAGGTGAAATTTTAATAAAGCAATGCAGCCAACTGCATTTCAAGAGAATAGATTAGTATTAGCAAGGCCAGAAGCTAGAAGATGAGGCACATGGGGAAGTTGTAGAAAGTCAAACTATTATGACAAAATTATATAATCATAGACTCAGATTTGTAAATTATCTCAAGAGCCATTTGGTACAATAACTGTAAGTTGGGGCCATAATTATGGAGAATTTGGCTATTAAACTGAAGGCAGCAGAAAGTATTCAAA